ACCCCCACCCCCTCCCTTCATTTGCCAATATAGAAAAGTACGTTTTCTGAAATTTTTAGCTCAGTTTCAGTTTCTCATATCTGAAGCAAGACAGCTGTAAAGGCTGATCTGAATTCATGCAGGGAGAACCCTTAAAGCTACTAACCCTTTTTTCAGCTTCCACTATCACCGCATCTTTGTTTTCTTCTGACACGATAACACATGTACTGAAAGATGACTTTAGCATGTTAATCACCAGGTCATTGGAAAGGATGTCCAACTTCTTCACTTGATCTCCTGTCACATTGGTAGACCCTGCAATTCCATAGCTAGAGCAAAGGCAAGAGAGACCATTGCGTGAGAACAGGGCAGTATGCCTTCAAAGCGCTCTGCTTCTGTCAGCTTTATGTCTATAAAACGTCTTGTAAAACAAACAGCACTTCTGGATGATATCTTGGTTATCTAAGACAGGTTTTTGTTCGCTGTCCAGTGGATTCTGACACCAGCTAACATTAGCTGTGGTGGCAAATCTAGAAGGCACTGAGGGCGAGGAACACAAAACAAGCAATCAGCTTTCAATAGTTCCTAAACCATAGGCAAACACAGCCAGAGCAGGATGTGAAGGCTAAACTACAATGATTGTGTTATTTAATGAACTCTTCATTTCAAGACCTAAATACTGCCCTTGAACCCTAGGGTCCAGTATTATAGCTGCATACCCTAAAGACTAATATTTGTTTAGAAAACTTAAAAGGTAACGGTGAAGTTTATGACACTAGTTACGCTATAATTTCCTATGTAATTTGCTCCTGGTTAGCAATACGATGTACAAATTGCAGTAGAAACACTTTTCTGAAAGATAAATCAGTATTTTTACGGTTCAATGTTTTCTGTTTTGATTTTAAATAGTAAACAGTTCCTTGGGAATAAAACTGAGAAATACAAATACGAAACACAAATAAAACCCTGCCAGCTAATCAGAATCAAACCATCTGGCATCAGGAAGTGCCAAGGAGACCTTGTGATAGGTGATGTCGAAAGCGTGACAAAAACAGAGGGGAAGTGTAGCTCTTGGAAGAGAAAAACAATAGCTGCCTCTGCACAAACTCGGATGACACGTACTTCAGCTACGATTGGGCCAAATACTACGATCGGGCCAAATACTGGTATTTCAGGTTTTCGCAGTAATGCTGAACACACTGCTGGGAATGTACTGCATTTCTTCAGTTCAGTGCATGAGGCCAGAGGCAATTGTCAAGAGGCACACATGTGGGGGACATAACGAACAGGACCTTAGACTGTCACACACCAGGTCGCAGCTGGGCCGCCCTGGTCTTCACTGAAAGGGCTAGCACATAGCAATTAAAAAGTATCACAGTTATATACAGTTTGAAGTCAGGACAGAGAAAAACAGTTCAAATATACATAAAGTGGAGGATTTTTATTCTCTCTTGCAGTCGCTTCTATTTTATTAGCTCAAGTCCCCTAAATGTGCCAGCGCTTTGATACATTTTGTAGTTAAATGTTACTCCGCATGGCCAGAGTCCTTTTGTTTATTATATTTTCCACTACACTAGTAGATGCAACTTCACTTTCCCAAAATAAGAATAAAAATTCCTTCCCCCGCCCCT